TGCTTTATTTTTTATGGCAACCACCCTGAAGCACACAGGGGCCCTTGTGGATGCAATCACCCATTTCACAGCGATAAAAATCAAAACGGTGTCACTACTAGGATTTCTGTGAAAATGTAATGAGAATATGTGGTAAATTTTAGTATCTCAACCAACTCATGTTGGCCAACGTGACATTCATTGCTCCAGGCCCCCTACTAGGCCAAGGACAAGGGCGGGCCAACTGCCTGAGGAACACAAGCCACCCAGACCAAGACCACACAGGGACCGAAAGCCTGGGACTGTCCAATTGAGGGAATATAAAATGTAGGAAAAACGGTAAAAAGGTGCAGAAAAGGCTATAAAAAGAAACCAAGCTGGGTGTAGTGGTGCATGTTGGTAATCCCAGCTCCTGGGAAGCTGAGGCAGGAGGAGAAAATTTTTATTTTTTGAATACTCGGGTTTTCTTTAGATCCTATAAATCTTTCATACACAGGGCCGGAGAGATTGCTTGACAGTCTGAGCACCTGCCTGGCAAGTGCAAGGACCGGGGTTTGATACCCAGCAACACAAGCATGGCGAAGCTGCCCCTGGGTGGGCTGTGCCCTTCTCGGAAACCGGGCGTGGTGGAGCATGCCTGTAATCCCACTGCGGGAGAGGCGGAGACAGGAGGATCACTATGACTCCGAGCTGCAGGGCGAGACCCTGTATCAAACACATAAATAATTTAAAAAATTAAATCTTTCATACATATTTCACCTGTTTTGGCTTTATTGACACAGCATGTCACTACATTAACCCTCACTTTGAATTTACTATGGAACCAAAGTTGGATTCAAATTTGCAATCCTGGTGCCTGGGTCCAGACTGGTGACATGACAGGCGTGGACCACCCTGCCCAGAAACTAAAACATTTTACTATTCCCCCCCCCCTCAGGTCTGAGGCTTTAACTCAGTGTGTTCTCACTAAGCTACACTTCAGTCATTTGAATTTTTTTTTTTTTTAATTTTGAGACAGAATGCACATGCCTGTAGTCTCAGAGCCCAAGGGCTGCAGTAGAAGGTGTGGCCCGGGACGCAGAGCCTGCCCTTCCAGGAAACCTGGGCTCTTGCCAAGATGTGACGGGGCAGCGGGGACAAGGCCCTATTTATTGAGCACCTACTGTATGCTAGGTTCTTGGATAGTAAACAAGGTAGATGAAACCTGGGCAGTAGGAGACCCGCAGTCAGGTGGGGATGCACGGACCCCACCGGGCGGGACACGCGTGACGTCATCGAGAAAGCCAGGCCGGAAGGTAGTCCTGGCAGGTGAGGCTGCTTTGGGGGCTGGGGAGAGGGTCATCCGCTCGTTCCATGAATGTACTTCTGGGCGCCCAGTGTGTGCCCTGCACCGGGTGAAGACGACGAGCGCAGCCCTTTCCTTCTCCGTATATTTGAGGCAGACAGGAAACGGACAAAGAACGAAGGTGGTTTCAAGCAGGGCTGACGGCCGGCAGGGCGCCTGGGGGCCAAGACGTGTCTGCCCTTGCTGCCATCCCCTCCCCCGCACTAGGCGAAGAGGTCACCGCGCTAGTGACGAGCGCGTCCTCGTGAGCCGGGGCGCGC